AGAGAGAGAGAGAGAGAGAGAGAGAGAGAGAGAGAGAGAGAGAGAGAGAGGAAGAAGAAGCGAACTGAAGAAGAAAATTGAAAAGAGAACGAACGAACGGCGATTATTGAAGGCGACGGCTAGCAACACCAGTGCAGAGAACCGAGTGAGCAACAAAGACAGAACATTCCAATGGTGTGATTACATTTGAAACTATTAATTTGCGGCGACAAAGTGTCAGTTTTCCAGTCGGTGTTTGACTTACAATATACACAGATAATCGGTTTCTTCTTCTTTTTTTTTTGATCGGTCGTTGTTTTGTTCATCATTAATTTTGAATTGCATGTTTTCTTTTGCTTAAATAAACTTCATTTTGATTTGTGCATTTTGATTCATTTTCTATGCGTCAAGTTGTGATCTGTTTCAATTGTGTTCCATTCCAATATAGTATAGTTTGTTCATTTCCGTCATTTTGTTGTTAGAGTTGTGTGTTTTTTGGTTTGAATTTTAGCATTTAGTTTAACCAAAAAGAACAATAAGCAAAAAAAAACACCATAATAAGCCAGCCGAGAGTGCGTGTACATTTTAGATTCTGTTGTAATTTTTTGTTGTTGAAATATTGTGTGGCATAAACTAAAAGGTACGGTCGATTGTTCAGTTCGATTTTTGTTCGTATATTCTGTATGTGCTGTGTGATGTGTTTGTGTTTATGCATGTGTTATGGTAATGTGAATGATTTGTGTCCATTTGTGAACCGAACCGTTCCGTTTCAATAGAATCTATCGAAGTAGACAGTAAAATTTATGTGCGGCAGGTTAGTGGTTTTCGCAACAGAGACTGGGAGCAAACGAACGAATTAACAAGAGAAAAAAAAGAAATGTTTCCGTGCAATTAGTCAATTTGTTGGGCATTTTAATTTTATTCGGCCGTATATCCAGTACAAGATGATTTGTCATTAAATGGTGAATGAGACAAGATTCACAACTAGGCAGTTCAGTTGTTGTTGTTTTTTTTCCTCTCCTTTCCTTCCCTATTCAGTATCAGCTCTCCATCATCATTGTGTGTGATGTGTCATGTTTTGATCGATGTGTGTGCAAGCCACACAGTCGGTCAAGGAATGTAGCTTCGAATGCACTCTTTAATATTCATTCTCTTCTCGTGCGCCGCTGCTGCTACTGCTGCTGCTGCTTTTGGTGTAGTTGTTTTTGATGATATTTCACTGTTGCATACATCGTCGGCGCATTGCTTGCTGCATAAATATATGGATTATCGCAGCATATGTGT